GCCCAGCTCCACCGTGCGTGTGTGTGCACCTCCCGCCAGCCAGCTGGTCTTTGGGTCTCTGCCACGCATGCACGAGGGGCAGGGCCTTCCCCAATCTCCGCAGGTTCTCCCCCGCACACCCTACTTTTCTATTCCATTTCTGCTGGCCGCACCAACCTGGAAGCCAAAGCAGGGCACGGGGGTGCTGCATGAGGCCCCCCCACTGCACCCTGTTTTGGGCCTAGAAAGCCTCCTGCACCAACCTGGAAGCCAAAATGGGGTGCAGGGCGCATGTGGAGGGGGCATGCGTGGGGGGGCGCTCGCATTGCATTTTGGTGGTTCAGCTTTGGGCGCTCAGAACCCAAAAAGTTAACCATCACTGATGTAAGGTTTGCTTATGTGTCTGTGGAGATTGTCAGCCATCCAGGTCATGGTTGTCCCAAAGGTGCTTCCCCCCCCCCCCCAAAAGGCAACTGGACTTTTTGGTTTTTCGGAAGAAGCTGAAGAAGCTTCCTGGATGAGAAGCGAAACATCTTCAAAGAAAAAAAACAAAGTCCAATTGCCTCTTGGGAAAAAAAAAAAGAAAATTTGCTTATGTGCATGCTTACAAACAGACACCCACCTACTTACAAACACACACACATTTATTTTATTTATTTTTTTTAATTTATTTTTATATGCCGCCCTTCTCCGGAGACTCAGGGCGGCTTACAGTGCGTTAAGCAATAGCCTTCATACTTTTGTATATTTTATACAAAGTCAGCTTATTGCCCCCACAAACTGGGTCCTCAATGTATTTAATGTATTTAACAAATGGCCACCCAAAATTCACAGGGTGATCCTGGGAGATTTACAACGTTAAAATAATATGCATTGAAACTCTTAATCACTTCCTGGTACGGGATGATAACATTAATGTTTAGGATTTAAATATCGCAAATATTTCCCCCCCGGCGGAATTGCTGATGTTTTCTTTTGTTTGGTCTCGTTAAGATCATCACATGTTTTATTTTTAATGGAGGATCATGAGGGCAGTATTAAAATTCTTCTTGTTTGGTCCATGAGCAAGGCTTTGCAAAGACTAATTTCCAATTTAAGTGCCGTCAGCTGATGTCCAACTTCTGCAAACTGCCAAGCCCTGAAGGGGAGAGGGGGAAGTTAAAACTCTTGAAATGGTTTGGTGTTTTGTTTTGTTTTGTTTTTTTAAATCTACTTGACAATAGTATCAAAGCTAATTAGATGGAACATAGATACTGATCTTAAAAGTAGTCATAAGGGCAGAAGTCTTTATGATTCATTTGAAGGAAATAACCTTTGGAGGGGGAAAACACTACCAAACACACTGCACCTCAATTTATGACCATAACTGAGCCCAAAATTTCTGTTGCTAAGCAAGACTGCTGCTAAGTCTTGGGCTTAGGACCTGGTTATCTACGGGACCGCCTACTACCACCAATAGCCTCCCACCCATAAGGGCGGTATATAAATCAAATAAAGTAAGTAAGTAAGTGAGTTGTGCTCCTTTTTTTTTTTTTTTTCATGTTCCATTTTAATTCTTAAGACCTTCCCAAGTTTTAGGTAAGGCTTGAAAGCAAAACACAGGGGAATACATGAAGTTATCTTGAAGACGACAAAATGCGATGACTACATTTATGACACCCAGTTCTGAATACTGTCTGGAAATCTCAATGAGAGAAGACAATGAAGGAGAATAGAAATCAAAGAAATGATTTGGCATTTCAGTCTGATGAGTAATTTAATTTGGACAATTGTTTCTGACTGAAGATATATAAGAAAGGCATCTCAGAAGGTGCAAGAAGGTGCCTGAGAAATTGGAGATGTCTGTTTTAGGTGTTAAGTTCGGCACTCCCTATTTTCCCAATATTCTCAATTTTTCTTTACGCTTTTGAACTCTGCCGTAAGGAAACTTCTTAAAACAGATGGGAGCTTTTGCCTCAACAATAGAGTTGTGCCCTATTTTATGACTTTTCTTGCCACAGTTGGGAAGTCAGTCCCTGCCGTTGTTAAATTACTAACACGGTTGTTAGGTGAATCTGGCTTCCCCATTGATTTTGCTCGTCAGAAGGAGGCAAGGGGTAGTCACGTGACCTTGGGACCCACCAACCGTCATACAAACATGCCAGTTTTTTTTTTTTTTTAATTTGATTTATATGCCGCCCTTCTCTGGAGACTCAGGGCGGCTTACAATGCGCTAAGCAATAGCCTTCATTCTTTTGTATATTTATACAAAGTCAGCTTATTGCCCCCATAACTGGGTCCTCAATTTACCTACCTTAGAAAGGATGGAAGGCTGAGTCAACCTTGAGCCTTGGCGAGATTCGAACCTGCAGTAATTGCAGGCAGCTGTTCTTAATAACAGGGTGCTTTAGACCACTGTACTACCAAGGCTCTTTGGTACAGTTGCCAAGTATCTGAATTTTGATCGTGTGACGATGGGGTTGCTGCAACAGTCGTATGAAAAACGGTCATAAGTCACTTTTTTCAGTGTGGTTATAATTTCCGGGACCAAACAAATGGTTGTAAATCAAGGATTACCTATACAACAAGTGAAAGACATACTGTAAGATGGTCATGCCATTAGATAAAATCTTGCAAATTTGTGAGGTAATAAACTACAGGTATTCCTCAACCCACGACCACAATTGAGCTCAAAATCTCTCTTGTTAAGTGAGACATTTGTTAAGTGAGTTTTGCCCCATTTTACGACCTTTCTTGCCACAGTTTGTTAAGCGAATCGCTGCAGTCGTTAAGTTAGTAACCTGGTTTGTTAAGTGGAATCTGGCTTCCCCAGTGACTTTGCTCGTCACAAAAAAAAAAAAAGTGATCACATGACCTTGGGACCCAGCAACGGTCATAAATATGAACCAATTGCCAAGCATCTGAATTTTAATCACGTGACCACGAAGTTGCTGCAAAGGTCGTAACTATGAAAAACGGTCATTCAATGACCACTTTTCTCAGTGTTGTTGTAACTTTGAATGGTCAGTAAATGAACTGTTGTAAGTTGAGGACTACCTGTATTTCTTATTTTTTTAATTTCCAAAATTGTAATTTTTTAACGCGATGGAAGGAAGAAATCACGAAATATAAAGCCGTCCATTATTATCCAATTTAATTTTAATTCAATGGGGAGGTGGGGAAATGGCATTCAGAGTTTCTTGCAGCCCCATCCAAAAACTGTTCAGAACACTCCTTTAAAATCTAAGCAAGGCCCTCAAAAAGAGGAACGGGGAATGCCCCATTTTATCCAGGAGAACTGGGAAAACTGGCTCAACATTTCTAACTTTGTTTCATAGACCGAGAGGGGGGGGAAAAAACCAACCCCATATTCTTCTCCACCCTCTACAGAAATGCTGTGAAATGGAGCCAATGCATTTTTCAACACACACCCCTCCCCACTTTGTCAGTAGGACTTTGATGCTTTGTCCACGCAATTGCGGCGAGATGGAAGGCAAACAAATTTAATAAATACATAAAATAAAAATTGGGGTGCTCGGTATATTAAGCAACTTTCCTCGGCAAGAGCCTTGGTAGTACAGTGATGTAAGGCACCCTGTTATTAAGCTGGTTATTAAGACCAGCTGCCTGCAATTACTACAGGTTCGAATCTCACCAAGGCTCAAGGTTGACTCAGCCTTCCATCCTTTCTAAGGTAGGTAAATTGAGGACCCAGTTGTGGGGGCAATAAGCTGACTTTGTATAAATATACAAAAGGATGAAGGCTATTGCTTAACGCATTGTAAGCCGCCCTGAGTCTCCGGAGAAGGGCGGCATATAAATCAAATTAAAAAAAAAAAAGAAGAAGCTGTTGTCTGTGGAGATTCTCAGTCATCCAGAGGTCATGGTTGTCTCAAAGGTGGTTTTTCAAAAGGCAACTGGACTATTTCTTTCTCTTTCTTTCTTTCTTTCTTTTTTTTTTTGTGAGGAAAAAAACACATTTTCCTCTTCTTCCTCAGGAAAAAAAAAAACACCAGTCCAGTTGCCTTTTGAAAAAAACACCTTTGAGATCTGAGCTGGGGCTTCCTTCAAAACGAATCACATCTGGGGTTAAGAGCTGTAATATAGAATAGAATAGAATTCTTGATTGGCCAAGTGTGATTGGACACACAAGGAATTTGTCTTAGGTGTATATGCTCTCAGTGTACATAAGGAGAATTAAATACATTCATCAAGAATAAAAAGATACAGCACTTAGTGATAGTCAAGGTTACTAATAAGCTATCAAATCGTACTAGGAAACGAATAAAAGCAATATAAATGGTAAAGATACAAGCGACATGGTTATAGTCATAAGTGGGAAGAGATAGATGCTAGTAAGGAAGAGAAGAATAAAAGTAATACAGTCTTAGTAAATTATTTGACAGTGTTGTGGGAATTATCTGTTTAGCAGAGTGATGGCGTTCGGGAAAAAACTGTCCTTGTGTCTAGTTGTTTTGGTGTGCAGTGCCCTATAGCGTCTTTTTGAGGGTAGGAGTTGAAACAGTTTATGTCCAGGATGTGAGGGGTCTGTAGATATTTTCTACAGATATATATTTCTTTAAATTTATATATATATGTCTCCCATCCTCTGGGCTGATCAAGGTTTTACAATTTTCCTTTCTCTCTCTCTCTCTCTCCCTCTTTCTTTCTCTCTCTCTTTCTCTCTCTTTCTCTCTCTCTTCTGTTTCCTTCGTCCTTTCCCCCTCCTCTCTTTTTTTGGGGGGGAAGCGCAGTCCTCTGATCGAGGCGCGCTTCCCTCCCCCCCTCCCCATTTCCCTAAATACATCATGAAAAAAAAGGATGATGTTTCCGCCTTAATTGCTTGTCCCTTTTATTCGTGTTCCTCCCTCAGCCAGAATTGTGAAGCGTGTTAGTAAAAGGCCTCACAATGGAGCTTTTCATTAGAACTCTGCGAGGCAGACAAAAAAAAAGGCTTTTTGGAAGGAGTGAATGCAGGAGTTTAATTTGCAGGTGGAGAGTAGATAAAAGGTGCCTGACGCCTCTGTTATTTTCTTACTTAGGTGACCCTTACCCCGTTCAGCTGATTCCAACAACAATGGCAGCTGCTGCTGCCGCAGCAACTCCAGGTTTAGGCCCACTGCAACTGCAGGTAAGTGCTTTGTAAAGAGGCAAAGGTTGAATCCATCTGAAAAGCTGGACCCTGCAACCCCACCCCCCGCCCGCCACCCTCCACCCTGCCAGTTGGAGTAACACAACTGCCTCCGGAAATGATTTGTTTTGTTTGTTTGTTTGTTTGTTTGTTTGTTTGTTTGTTTGTTTATCAGGCTTATAGGGCCACCCGTGTCACCAAGGCTGAGTGGCCGTGGAAAAATGGGACAATGTTTTCATTTGGGAGATGAACAACGGTTGAGTGTGAATTGCGCTTAGCCGATGAGGTGGTGGTGGTAGTGGTGCTGTTGGAGGAGCAGGAGGAGCAGGAGCAGGAGGAGCAGGAGGAAAAAGAATGACAGCAGGAGGAGGAAGGAGGAGAGAAGGAGGAAGCGAAGGAGAAAGAGGAGAAAAAAGGAAAGGAGGAAAAAGAATGACAGCAGGAGGAGGAAGAAGGAGAGGAGGAAGAGGAGGAAGGAAAAAGGAGGGGAGGAAAAGAATGACAGCAGGAGGAGGAAGGAGAGGAGGAGGAAAAGAAGAAGGAAGAGGAGGAAAAAGGAAGGGAGGAAAAGAATGACAGCAGGAGGAGGAAGTAGAGAAAGGAGGGGGAGGAGGAGGAAGGAGGAAAAGGGGAGGAGGAAAAGAATGACAGCAAGAGGAGGAAGAAGGAGAGGAGGAGGAGGAAGAGAAGGAGAAAGAGGAGGAAAAAGGAGGGGAGGAAAAAGAATGACAGCAGGAGGAGGAAGAAGAAAAAGGAGGGGAGGAAAAGAATGACAGCAGGAGGAGGAAGAGGAGAAAGAGGAGGGGGAGGAGGGGAGGAAGAAAAAGGAGGGGAGAAAAAAGAATGACAGTAGGAGGAGGAAGAAAAGAAAGGAGGAGGAGGAAGAAGAAAAAGGAGTGGAGAAAAAAGAATGACAGCAGGAGGAAGAGAAAGAGGAGGAGGAGGAGGAGGAAATAGGGCAGCAGAAGGAAGAAGAAAGACAGGAGGAAGAAAGAGAGGAGGAGGAGGAGGGAAGGGGAGGAGGAGAGGGGGAGAAGGAAATTATCTTGCCCTTTCTTTCTTTCTCTTGTTTCTGTGTAAGCCCTTGGGTCATTCTAAGAAGCTGAATTTGGAGAGGATAAGAGTAACAGTTACTACCCTTTGAAAATGGAAGCGTTTGGACCTGAGGACATAGGATGAACAAATCTGTGCATTTGTCTGTAGGAAAAGTAATTTAAGAAATTAACTGTTTGTGAGAGATCAGTCAAGTTATGGAACCCAGTGCTATAATGGTTATTTTCCAGATTATTTATTTGCTTTCCATTTTTATTCTGCCTTACTTCCCTAATACTGGCATGGGTACAGTACCAAAATGATCTCCCACCCGTTGGTCATCTTAGGATGGTTGAATGCATCACATGAACTTGAAGAGGATAGAGAGAAACAATTATTACCCTTTCAAAATTTAGAGCAGAGAACACAGGAGGAACCAAAAGATGCATTTGTTTGTGAGAAGAATAATTTAAGGAATTGTTGCAAGAGATTGGTCAAATTATGGGATCCAGAGCTATAACGGTTATATCCCACTTTTTTTGTCATATACATATTGCCTTACTTCTCTAATAATGACATGGATACCATGTTTCCCCGAAAATAAGACCCTGTCTTATATTTTTTTGAACCCCGAAATAAGCACTTGGCCTTATTTTGGGGGCGGTCTTATGATTTTGGGGTGCGTGGAGCAAGATGGGGCTCCTCTTGCCGTCTTATCTGATTTCTAGCTCTGCGTTTAAATATTTTTGGGGAGGGCTTATTTTTTGGGGGAGGCTTATTTTAGCGCATGCACTCAAAAGCCCGATTGGGCTTATTATTGGGAAGTCTTATTTTCGGGGAAACAGGGTAGAATTCCATAATGAACTCTCACCCATTGGCCAGAACTGAGTTTTCTTAGTAGTAGCCTTCCATGATGTACCTTCCTGGTGTTCTGGGACTGCAATTTCAGAATTTCTAGTTTTTGAAAATGTGACCAGGAATTGCCAGTTGTAGTCCATAATTTATAGCAAATTAAATACCCTACCTTAGGATTTTGGAAGTATGGTAAGCACAGATGAAACTCTTCGTTATAGGTAATGTACCTGGTAAGTTGAAACTGCTCTAGAAGTGCACCAGAAGCTGGGACCTTAGAAAGAATGCAGAGAAGAGCAACAAAGATGATAAGAGGTCTGGAGGCTAAATTGTATGAATCATAGTTAAGGGATCTAGGTATGTTTGTCCTAAGAAAGAGAAGGTTTAGGGGAGACATGATAGCAGTCTTCCAACACTTGAAGGGATGCCACAGGGAAGAAGGCATTAGTTCATTCTCCATAACACCTGAAGGCAGGACAAGAAGCAATAGGTAGAAACTCAATGGGAGGAGATACAACCTGGAAATGAGGAATTTCCTGACAGTGAAAACAGTTAATTGATGGAACTTCTTGCATCTTGGAATTGTGGATTCTGGAGGTCTTCAAGAAAAGATTGACAATCATTTGTCCAGGATGATATAAGGACTCCTGCCTTGGACATGAAGTTGGACCAGAAGACCTCCAAGGTCCCTTCCAGCCTTATGATTCTATTATTATATATTAGATTTTTATGCCATCCATCTCCCCTATGAGATAATTCTATGATTCTATGAGACGGTGGTTGACGTTCTATTCAAATCATGGATTGAAATTTTGGATGGTAGAAAAGCATGCGTCACTCTCCATTGCTATGCTGAGCTTATGATATTAGGTGTTCTCCACATGAACATCTGGTTACACAGGGCATTATTCTTCCCTGAATTTCTAAGAGAGAAGAATCACTTATTCCTAATGTTTGTCAAATTGGCCACTAGAGATCTTGCTTCACCCTGCAAGATATCTCAATGGCAAAATTATGGGCTACCTCGTGGGTAGGTAGATATGTGAACTGGAGCCTTCTTTGCTCTCTTGGAGAATCAACAGATAGGGTGAATCTTCAATCTACAGCTATAAATGCTTCTTTATTTTGTATTGGTGGGAGAGAAAAGCCATAAATTTCCAAGTTAATGACCTAAGTGCTACCGGTATTGACTCAACTTCTGGTGAATAAATAGACATGTCCTTTGCTGTTTTGACCTGTCCCAAATAATACTTGGTATTCCCTTCCAAGGACATTCTAATAGTCCTTTGGATTCTATTTTCTTCTTTGTCCTCAATCTTGCCAAACATAATAAAACCCATCATCTTCTTATATTACTGCATATGCCCAAAGTTTTTGTTTCCTGATCATCTCAAGATCCTCGTTTATTTAGCCAGGCATTGATTATCTGGCTCTTTTGCTATTTTTTTTTTTTATTTATTTGATTTATATGCCGCCCTTCTCCGGAGACTTGGGCGGCTTACAGTGGGTTAAGCAATAGCTTTCATACTTTTTATATTTTTATACAAAGTCAGCTTATTGCCCCTGCAAACTGGGTCCTCAATTTACCTACCTTAGAAAGGATGGAAGGCTGAGTCAACCTTGAGCCTGGCGAGATTCGATCTTACTTTAATTGCAGACAGCTGGTGTTAAATTATAGTGCTTAGTCTGTTGAGCTATTCAGGCTCCTCATGACACTTCCTTGTAACCATCCTCCGATTCAGAACGTGAACGCATCTACCTTCTTTCTCTTGTTCTTTTACAATAGCCAGATTTCACAGGAACATTTTACCTCAGGAAAGGCCCTTTACCAGTTGCGATTTTTCTTCTCCTAAAAATATCCTCATCCCTGTTTTTTGCCTAAATTTTTCATGGTTGGGAATGAAGCTGGGGGCGGGGGGAGACCACCAGTTCCTAGATTAAAATGAACGGTTAAGTTAATAAATCCCGGTTACCTTTATGACCTTGACGGAAAGCTATCAAATATGCATTAAACAAAGCAAAGTGGAAGGAGAAACACTCGAATGTAAACATTGGAGTAATGGCATCTAGATAGGTTTTGATGGCTGTACGCTTCAGCAGGCAGACGGCTTGTTGTAGTTGGCTTCATTTTTGTCTACAATAAAGTATTTACACTGGCTGACCGATGTCTAAATGTCTGTCATTTAGTAAGTCAATTCCAGAACAAGGGGTTGAGAATCTAGAGAGCCTAAATTTACAGCTGTGCCAGGCTGAAGTGTGACATATTGCCTTCTTCTCTAGGATTAATCTGTTTACTCCTCCTACGCATTGTTCCTCTTTACCTCTTCTTCAGTGCAAGAACATAAAACTGTCCGCCAACTTTGCTTCTTCAGAGACAACTGTAAGTTCACCAAGCATGCGAGTTGTCATTACCTTGATATTTATCATTAATCCAGGTTTTTAATTTCCCTTTCCATTTTTGCTTTCCCGATGAGCTCTTCTTCTTTACTTCTGACTAGCATAAGTGCACTTAGGTGCCTATCGTCCCTGTTGTTGTATTTTTATTCTTTTATTCTCGTTCTCATTTTTGTTTAACAAATTCTAATAAATAAATAGGAGGGACCCGGTGGCTCAGTGGCTAAGACGCTGAGTTTGTCGATTGGAAGCTAGGCACTTCAGCGGTTCGAATCCCTAGGGCCACGTCACGGGGTGAGCTCCCGTTACTTGTCCCAGCTTCTGCCAACCTAGCAGTTTGAAAGCACGTAAAAAATGCAAGTAGAAAAATAGGGGCCACCTTTGGTGGGAAGGTAACAGCGTTCCATGGCGCCTTTGGTGTTTGGTCATGCCAGCCACATGACCACGGAGACGTCTTCGGACAGCGCTGGCTCTTCGGCTTTGAAACGGAGATGAGCACCAACCCCTAGAGTCAGGAACGGCTAGCACATATGTGCGAGGGGAACCTTTACCTTTTACCTTTAATTAATAAATAAGTAAATAAATAAATAAATAAATAATTTGATGTCATCTTCTGATCTCAGATTGTTAGCGTTCGGTCCTCCAACTTGATTCCATCTGCCATTCCATCCCTCCCTCCCGTTCTTAACAGTATATTTGCTGCAAATGTTCAACAGACATGG